GGGGGAGGGGATAGGGAGGGCAAGGAGGGCAAGGAGGGCAAGGGGGACAAGGAGGGCAAGGAGGGCAAGGAGGGCAAGGAGGGCAAGGACGGCAAGGAGGGCAAGGAGGGCAAGGAGGGCAAGGACGGCAAGGAGGGGAGGACGGCAAGGAGGGGAGGACGGCAAGGAGGGGAGGACGGCAAGGAGGGCAGAGGCATACGTGGAGGAGTCAGAAGGAGGGGGTGCCCTCAGCAAGGGCCTCCTGCGTCCATGGTGAGATCACTTCAATCGGCTCAGAGCGCGAAACAAACCAACGCCCGGGAGGCCTGTCTGCCTGCGCCGGGTGGCTCTCGTGCCAGGCGTCAGCCGGATGGGATGATGGCCTCCTTGGCCGGGAGGACAAAGCCGGCGGCAGCCCGGCGAGTCGGAGGACGAGGCTGCCATACTGACATTCCGTTCTTCGCTATCGACACTTCCCAGGCTGTAGCACCAGAATCTGGGGCACCAGCTCCCGCCCGGGATTCAGTATGTGACAGATCCAATCCCGGTGCCCTTCACTGGGCACGGCGGCCTCGATCGTTGGCAGGCGCCGGGCGCGGCGCATCTTTTGTTATTGGTGCTGACTCTGTCCTGGCCCTCTCCCCCCGCCCCGCCCCGCCCCCCCCCCCCCCCCCCCGCCCCCCCCGGCCTCCTGCCTAAGGCCGCCGTCTGGCGCAAAGGCCGCCTCTCGAGGCTCCCCATGATGTGTGCGGTCAGGGCAGCCCGGCCACCTCTCGAGAGACACCACGCCAGATGTGGCGCTCGCCCGGGGAAGCGCGACCCACAGCCCCCTCCCTGGTCCTCCCTCTGCGACGCCCCGCCCTCTTGCTGCTCCATCCTGCGCCCTCCTCCCCCCATCGCCCCGCAGCTCTCTCTCTCTCTCCCCCCCTGCCGCCTGTCCGGAGCCACGAGCGGCCGTGCACTCTGCCCGGCCTGTGACCGCCATGAAGCTCTTCTTCATCACCACGCTCAACGGGTCATCGATCTACACCCCGCCCTTGGTGCCACCGAGTCTGCATGAGAGCCACGTCAAGACCCTCCGCTGGCGGCACCTCCGAAGCACAGCCCTGCGGACGATCTCCTCCCTGCAGAAGGTCCGCGTGGAGCCTTCGGCCCAGGGGCTCCGCTGGCCGGTGGAATTCACCAATTACCTGTGCTCGCCTCTGAGCGGGACACAACAGTTTTCCTTCGTGCGCAATTGCCCGGCCCCCTTTGCGCGTGCTTTGGGCCCCACGCACATGGCCGTGAGATCCACCTTCCGCGTGCTGACCGTCGACTTGTCGCCTCCTTCTCTGTACCCCCCTCCCCCCCCCCCCCTCCCCTGCCTGCCCTCTTGGCCTGGCATTAGGCCACATTCAATCAGCGCATCACCTCCTTCAAATTGACATGTGGCTCGACCATGTGTGTGCTTTTCTACGAGGTGGGCCGGGACTGTACGCTCCCCCTGTCGAAGGCCGCACGCACGCCGCCCAGCCAGCCGGATGATGACAACCCGGGCGACATGCCCTACCAATTCCCCTCGCTGGTGGCGTACGCCATCACCGACTCCAGCGAGCCGCTGGACACCCTGCGCTTCCAGCTACGCATCCTGTGCGATGCGCTGGTCATGCGCTTCGGTCCGCTCGAAACGGTGCGCGACCCCCCCCCCCCACACACACACCGCCACCACCACCACCACCACCACCACGCGCCTATGGTGCTGGCGTGCATGATGGCCGACGCGCTCCGATTGCCCCGCCCGACTGACCCCCAAGCGCCCTCAGTTCATTCCCGAGAACTACATCATCAACGTGCACTTCCAACAGTATCTCAACCCGCTGGTTGATGCCCTTCTGTCGCTCTCGTCCAGCTACGATGTAGGCCTCCTGCTGGGGTCGGTCAACCGTCTGAAGCTGAGTGATCCCATCGACCAGCAGTGGTACGCCCCTGCCTCCTCCCTCACTCGGATCGCTCTCCGATGCTTTGCCGCGCCAAATGCTCCCCCGCCCCACGCTAACTGCATTTGACGGTGTTGCCCCTGCCCAGCCATCAGGCGTTGGAGGCCGCGGCGCAGGCGGCGTCCAAGCCGTCGGATGCCTTTGCCGGGCTGGTCCGGCCGCCGCGGGTCATGCACCTGCTGCTGTTCATCGGCAACAAGCTGGCCGGGCACTATGCGGCACCAGGGGCGCCGACGCTCGGCGGGGCGCCCGGGTCATCTGGCACCGGGTCCGGCACCGGAGGCCCGGGCTCCGGGGCCGGTGGGTCTGGAGCCGGCAACAACCCCGCCCTCAACAGCCGTCTGTCCAAGTCCGAGCGGGCCAAGCTGCTGCAGCTTCTGCAGCACGAGGCCGAGACGCCGGCCTTCCACCTGTCGCCATCGGACCTGCTGCAACTGACGCTGCGTTTGCAGGCCCGCCGTGCGGCCGCCCGCGCCGAGTGGCGGACCCGCAAGTCCGAGTGGCGGTCCAGCCTGCAAGCCTTCGAGGCGGAGCTGCGTGCCTTGGCCGCGGCCGAACCGCCGGCCAGCGTGGCCGAGGACCTCTCTCAGTCGAGTTCGCCCGTGCAGCCGGATGCCGTGTCGCCGGGAGCCGAGGCCGAGGCCGAGGCCGAGGCTGGGGAGTCCTCGGCGCGGGTCGCTCCCGAGGATGATGCGTCGACACCCGGTGGTGATGGTGACCTGGATGATGCGCCGGCGGGGGATGGCGACTTGGCGCCTCTTCCGGTGGACCCGGTTCCCCCGGCGGAGCCGGTTCATCCCTACACGGAGCTGATCGAGTGCACGACGCCGGCCGCCCGGGCCGAGCTGGTCCAGCAGTACTGGAGCCCGGATGTGTCGGAGAGCCTTTTCCTGCGGACGTCGGCCCCCTTCGGGGAGATTGCGCCCGGCGGTGCCCCCGGCGGCCGGCGGCCCTTCCGTGTGCATAGCGGTCTGCTGCGGTCTTCGCAGTATCAGGTCCAGGGGCCCGATGGGCCGGCCATCACATACATCGCCGTGACCGAGGTGCCCATCCGGAGCCGGTCTTCGCAGCACAGCCTCGCCCCGGCGGCCCCGCTCTCGGCCGAGGAGCTGGACAAGGTGGACGCCGTGGTCACCCGGCGCGTGCATAACAGCCTCCTGGAGTCGCTGGCCCCGATCTTGGATATCCTTTTTGTCCTGAGCCTGGCACACATGCGCGTCAAGTCCTTCGTGGCCCTGTGCCCGGGGCTGGTGCACTTTGCCCTGGTTGATCGGAGCAGCGGGTGGATGGTGGTCCCGCGGGTGGAGCAGCTGACCTCCTACGACGGGGGCCCGGGCGAGGGGTCGAGCAACCACTCGGCCGCGGTGCCCTCCTCCGGGGGGGACGGCGATGCCGGTGCCGGTGCCGACGGCCGGCCGGCCAGCCCGCCGGACGGGGACGACTACTTCGACCTGGACTCGCCGCAATTCGGCGATGGGGCGGCTGTCCGCTCGACGCTGGACCTGCTGCGGCAGCATTGCGACCGGCGGCGCATCTCCCGGCGTCTGGCGGACTCGATCTACCACGCGCGCGCGCGCATCGCCGAGGGCTATACATCGGGCATCGCGCGCGTCGGGCCGTACCAGTACTTTCACAATGTGTGGTTCGAGGCGCCGCAGCCCAACGGCACGTCGGAGATGTGCGTCTCTTTCCCCGCCCCATGTGCTCCCTCCTCCCCCTCGGGGGAGGGGAGGGGGCTCCGCTGTGCATGTGCACTCACACGAATGGCTCCCTCTGCTCCCTGTCGCGGCTTCTCCCCCCCCCCCCCCCCCCCCCCCTTTCTGCTTCCACAGCCTGCCCATCGAGCAGGCCCTCCCCCAGCCTAGCCGTCTGAATGACCACTTTGATTACTTCCGGTGCGGGGCCCCCTTCGCTATGCTCCCTCCTCTTTTGGATGCACCCTGCTCACCTGCCGTTTTTTCCCCCGCGTGCACGTGTGTGCGTGTGGCCATGTGTATTCGCGCGCGGCCAGCTCCTTCGTGCCGCCGATCATCTTCCCGGAGCTACATTCGGCGGCGGCGACGACGCCGGTGTCAGCCGAGTCCTCCTCCTCCAGTGGGTCCTTGTCGGATTCCCTGTCCAACCTGTCCTTGAGCAAGCCGCGGTCGCTCTTCTCCTTCGCCTCCTCGGCGCCAGCCAGCCAGCGCGCCGACAACGGGCTCCCCCTGATCCAGGGCCGGACCGGGTGTGTGACGCCGGTCAAGTGCTTGGAGATCTACACCGTCTTTGTGGGGACCCTGCCAGAGCATGAGGTCATCTCGCAGACGCGTCGACTGGTCAAGCGCCTGCGCGAAACGGAGAGTGACAAGATCTTCATCTGACCACGATGCGCGGCCACTGGGCGCCTCCCCACTTTGTCCTCTTTCGCACAGTGCCCCATTCTCCTGGATGGCGAGGGGGCAGGGGGAGGTCGAAAGAATACACGCGTATTGCCAAGCGCAGTGGGCAGCCACTCCTTGTTTTGTTCACACACATCGCGCGTGGAGAGGGGGGGGGGGGGGAGGTTGGGGCGGCGAAGGGTCGCGTCCCCCCCCCCCCACATGAAGGTGGACACCGAGAAACCGAGAACCAGTTGTTTTTTTTCCCTTGGCACAATCGATGTGTCCCGCGCGCGTGTTGAGAAGAAGGCCCGCCACCACACGACACACACTCCCCCTTCCCCTGGTGCCAGGAGAGGAATCGCCTCTGATGGGCGGCACGCGAAGTTGCCCAGCCCCCCCACTGCCCGAGGCCGCCCACCCCCACACGCACGCATTCCACAGCAATATACCGCAAAAACAAATCAAGAGAGGGGAATGGGAAAGGCGAAAGGGGGTCATCTATTGAGGGAGGAGGAAAAGGTGTCCGCCGCGGGTGTCTTCGCTCCAGGAGGAGACCTAAAAAAGGCCACATAGGTATGTGTTGCTCCATTTCCCATGCTGCGAGGCGACAGGGGCCTAAAAAGGAGGAGGGGAGGAAATGTCAGAAGAGGAAGGCAGAAAGGAGAGAGAGGGGGAGAAGCGCCGAGAAGGAGGAGAGGTGCTTCAGTTACCGTCATAGCTAAAAGCTATTATCATAGATAATCAGCGACGATTGTGTCATCAAAAGACACCTCACTCTCTTGTTGGCACTTGCCCCGAGGCTGGAGGGGGGGAGACAAGGAGAGACGCACCCAGAGGAGAAGGGGGAGGAGACACGCATGGGTGCGCGTGTGCACGGGACACAATGGCCGGCCACACGGTGGCATGCACGCCGGCCCACCGGGCAGCATGTGCGACGGGGGGGGGGAGGCGCAGCATCCACAAGGTATCCACACAGGGGCGCGTGGTCACCGGGTGAAATGAAAAAGAGTACGCCGAAGCCTCGGGTGGTGGGCGGACAGGCCGCCCCTGGTCCCTCTCATGCGGGGGAGCATGGGGGGAGGGGCGCGCGCGCACACACTCACGGGCAGCAGCGTCTTCAAGGGGCGGAGAGAGAGAGAAGCAGGGGTGGACATGTCAGAATGGGCAAGGGAGGGGGAAAGGGAGAAGGGAGGGAGGAGGAGCATTTCGCTACCCTCATGGAGATTGGTAGGCTCCCAGTGGCAAAACTGGCACCTATCACCGGACATCATCGTCTAATTAAAGGTAATCAAAGGAAAAGCGAGCTGGCTCGAGGGGGGGGGGAAAGGAGAGGAGAGGGAGATACGAACATCTTGTCGGGATGGCGGAAAAGCCAGGTGAACTTGTCCCTCGGGTCTCGATGTCCCCGGGCTCCGGGCGGTCCCCTTTTATACCTCTCTTGCCCGTGTGCGGCGGGATCCCCCGGTGGCGACGCCGATGCCTCGATTCCGGCCAGCACATGGGGCACGGATGCCACCCGCCGCTGCTGTCGGCGGAGACGACCATACCTCGCCGCCCGCGCCCCTCCACACCCACTGCGCAGGGTGTACGAGGGGGGGGGGGCGAGAGTTCCGGCGAAAAAGGGTCGGCTCGTGGGCAGCTCGCCGGACCGGGGATGCTTCCAGCTCGCCGACGGACCTGTTTTCCGTCGGAAGAAGAAGATGCTATATAGTCGGTGGGGAGTGGGGGTGTGGCATGGGCGACTGCCCGCCACACACACACACACACACACACACACACACACACACACACACACACACACACACACACACACACACACACACACACACACACACACACACACCTCTAACACGCTCACACGGGGGGCGGATATGCGCACCCCCTGGCCTACACATGCGGGGATGGCCGGGCCTCTCGTCCGGCTGGCCCCCCTCGTGCAACAGGAAGGGAGTGACCCACCACTTTCCTTGCTGCCCGGGGCACGACCAAGCAAACAGGGTGGGTGCCACAACCCTGCACCATCGGCGGGCGGAATCGCGTTCCCTTTGGGGTATTTTAAACAACATTCTCGTCCCTCCGTGGCCCCACATCACCCTATTCGTGGTCGTGTGATCATGCGGGCAGGCGACCGCCGCGATGTCTCCGAGCAGGGCGGCAGGCGGGCGTATGCCAGCCGCACAAGACCAGCACGCTGGTGGGCGGGCACCGAGCGGAACTTGCCCGCCCCTCGGACGGAGGGGGGGGGGGGGGGGGGGAGGGCGGGGCCTATGCAGCTACACCCCAACAAGAAAGCCCAGGGCAGCCCAGTGGATGTTCTCCTGTTCGATGAGAGAACGGGCGGGAGCCGGCTGCTGGGCAGAAAACAATGCGCCAGGCTGCAGGGTTCGGGGGAGCAGCCCAACAAAAGAACTACCCTCGGCCGGGGGGGGGGGATCCACGAGAGGATGGGGCACTGCCGCGGTGCGCATGGGTAATGTTGGCTCTCTTGACGCCCAGACCAAGAGCTGGACCGAGAGGAAACCCGGCTCTTACAAGGGGGCGTGTGCCCGGGTCCTCCGTGCCCGGGCCTGCTTCCTCACCAGGTCCCAGCTGATGGAGGGGGGGGGGGGGGGCGGGGGGGAGGAGGCAGGCGGGGAACGGGGGGCCGGCCCCGCTGGAGGGGCCGGCTCCGCTGGGTTGGTCCTCCTCCTCCCATCCCCTCGGAGGGGCCAGCGGAAGCCAGTGGTCGAGATGGTTTTTGCGCCACCGCCGGCAGAAGCCGGGGCCCCTCTGCGCGGGGCGCCTCCCGACACAGCCTGGGTAGACAGTGACTCGCTCTCGCCAACTACTCATCTCCCTCCTCCTCCTCCTCCTCCCCCTCCTGCTCCTGCTCCTTTGTGCACCATGTTCCTCCGCCGCGCCCTTGTTTCCGCCAACACCCTTGCCGCCCCGCTGCGCGGCGCCAAGCCCGCCCTGCGCTACGTCTCGGCCCCGAACCCCCCTGCCCTGCCGGCCCACTCTCCCCAGGCCCTCGAGTCTATGTTCCAGGTGCGAGATCAATGCGTCCGCAAGCACGGGAAGGAAGCGGGAGAGAGTGAGGGCATGCGCGCCCTGGATGACGCTTCTCTCCTCCCGCGAGGAATGCCCGCTGACCGAATCATCTTCTCTCCCTGCGGCGACTCCTTCATGGCGCCGATGTGGTGGCTTGACGGCCTCCCATTGGCCGCGCCCTCTCCTGCCCTCCCTCCCCACCTTGCACCTCCTTCGTGGGATGCTTGCCTGGCACTGTGCATGCCCGTTCGCGTGTGGCTCCCTTCGCCGCATTCAGAAGGTGCGCATGCATCCCGCCTTGTGCACAGTTGCCTTGGTTTCCTGCGACCGACACCTTTCTCACATCCTCCTCCTCCCCCTCCCTCGCTCGCCGGCGCCCAGTTCGAGCAGACCAACAAGACCCCCATGGCCTCCCTGGTCCTTTACTTCACCGTGGCCTTCATCCCCCTGGCCTGCACCGTGCCCAACCTTCAGTGCGCCCCCCTTCGCTTCCCATTTCCAGGTTGCCAGTTAACTTGCGCGGGCCCTGGCCTGCCCCTCAGAAGCTAACAACCCACACACACACGCACACACACAACTCGCCAGCAACTCCCACTACTTCGGCATGCACCTCCGTGGCCGCCTTGCCGAGGCCAACGCCTCCTACTAAGGTGCCGGTGGTGCTCTCCCTCTTTCCCTCGGGCAAAGCGCCCCGTCTTCCGGGGGCGATAGAATGAGCGGGAGAAAGAGAAAGAGACGCGACCCAAAGAAGGGGAGGCCGCCACGGCCAGACCGGTGCGTGAGCACCGCCAACAGGACAGGGGTAGACCCCTGTTCGGTGTGCTGCGCACACGTCGCTCTCGTCCCGGGGCCAATACAGATCTCCCCAAGTGCATCCCTCCTCGGCATGCATCCCCTCCGCCGGTGGTGAAGGAGGACCAGGCGAGGACGGTGCACCCTCCCTCATGGCTTCTCTCGCCAGTACCAGAACATCCCCGCCCCGCCCCCCCCCCCTGTACAACATTGCTTCAGTTTTCCTGTCTCCTTCACCCGTCCCTGGGCCCGTGTGTGTGTGTGTGTGCAAAGAGCGTTTCTACCTCCCCCATCCGCTGACAAGGTAGAACGGAGTCGTGAGTGTCTGTGTCTGTGTCTGTGTCTGTGTGTGAGAGAGAGAGTGTGTGTGTGTGTGTGTAGCAATTCGACATCTTGCCGGAGGTGCCCTTCGAGGAGAGAGGCGATCGAAGGGGGGGGGGGCATCGAAATCGGCTGTCCCTCTGCTCTATGCTGTGCCCGGGGATATAGTTGAACATGCCGGGCAGGCCAGACACGAGAGAGGGAGAGAGAGAGAGAAAGAAAGAGAAAGACGGAGGGTGGGGGGAGGATGGGCTTTTGGCGGGAACCCATACTCTGGCCGGAGGATTGTCATCTCCCTTGCCATGGCTGCTGCCACCGGGCGGGGGTGGGTGCCCTCCCGGTGGCACTTGGCGCCCGGGGATGAAAGCTGCAGAAAAGAGCGCGGGGGGGGCGGCACATCCGGCACGGGCCGGCATTGCACACTCGGGGGCCGGATGCCTCAGGGTCCGTCCTGAACCGGCCGCACTCGCCCCCCTCCCCCTGGGGCGGAGGCCGGGTGCCGAGGGTTTCACCAGGACGCCGGGGGGCCCGGGGCCATCCAGGTACTCGCCCTAGCGGCAACAGCCGTTGAGGGAACACCAATGGAGGGCCAAATGACAGAAAGCCGCTCAGGAATATGAAAACGCACACATGCGCCACCAATGTCCCGTGTGGGAAGGACGGCGCCCGGGCGCCTGGGGGCGCTCCCTGGCGGTTTTTCCTCGCAGACACCTTTGCCCGTTTACCGCCTGGCAAGACAGCGCACGTCTCAGGACCGGAGGGGGGCGGGGGGGGGGGGCATCGCCAGTGGCCTTGCACACACAGCGTGTCCCCCCCACCCGGCCGACACACATGCGCCGGAGTGCGGTCGTGGGCGTCAGTCTGGTCGGCGACGGCGCGTCAAGCCGAGGAAGGCCGGCTTTCTTGTTGCTGGACCAAAAGGACTGCATTTAAAAAGACCGGATATATTCACACTTTATCCAGGAGGATGTATTCGCCAGCGGAAATCCCCTTGCATGCGTATTACTCGCCAAGGGGGCGTGTGTGAGCATATCCCCGGCTTGTCGGGGGGGGGGCCGGGGGACACCTACTCCGGCGGTGCGGCGCTGTGTGCAGCATGAATTTGGGAGGGCGATTAGGCTCTATCTCTGTTGCGTCGGTCGCGGGACGCACCGCCACTGACGCACCGAGGAGCGCATCGACTCACATGAAGATGCGCTCGTCCCCCCCTCCCCCAGGCGGCCCCCCCGGCGCCGGGGAACCCATCCCGGCCACCCAGGGGCGTCCGGTGTCTTGTCGGTTCTCTGTTGTCCCCGGCTCACCGGGGGGGGGGGGGGGGGCTTCTCCGCCGGGGTAGGAGGGTGGGGCCTTGTGCGCCGCCGTCGCAGGGCCGCGCACCGGCCCACTCCCAGGCCCAGTCCTCGCTCGCCCACGTCCGCGCCCGCGCCCACCCCGAGGGGGCGGCGACCCGCCGTTGTAGCCCAGGCCACCGGGTTCTCTCTCTTTCTCTCTCTCTCTCTCTGTCTCTCTCTCACCATCCCGCGGGCGGGGCCAATCAACTGGCGCCAACACCGGCCCGCTTCCCCCCCCCCCCCCAGCTCCCCGCCCCCATGGGTGCGTTCCCAGGACGCTCTTTGTGTAACAGGAGGATCATGTTGACGCGGGGATTCTCCCTCTCCTTCTCGCTCTCTGTCGCCCCCCCCCCCGGGCCAGCCCTCTGTGGTTCACGCTTGACCCCCCCCCCCTCCCCGGGCGGGCAGGCGGATGCCTGTTTATTTCGGGCCCCTCCTCAGGCAACACGGTGATCCCCCCACCCCTCACGGATCCCGCCCCCTGGCCCCTCCCACTCCCCCTCCCTTCTGCCCCCTCCTCGCGCGCACTTCCCTCCACTCCCACAGCTATGGCCACTAAGAACAAGTTTGATATCCTCAACACCGACGTGTACGTCCCCTCGTCCTCGTCGCCGGATGCCACCAATGCCAACCGCCCGGCCAACTTCTCCAAGAAGCAGCAGCCCGCCAGCACTGCCAGCGGCGCGGATGACATGGCCCTGACCGAGGCCGACCAGCGCAAGCTGAAGCGCATGCAGCAGTCCATGGGCAAGGGCAAGAAGTCCGGCTCCTCGCGCAGCAGCGGCCACACCAGCCCCAAGGCCAAGAGCTCCCCGAGCCAGTCGCCGCCTGCGTCGCCGGCCGCCAAGCCCATGGCCCCGGCTACTGCCAAGGCCGCCGCCCCGGCCAAGGCCGCCACCCCGGCCAAGGCCGCCACCCCGGCCAAGGCCGCCGCCCCCGCCACCAAGGGCGTCCCCGCTGGCAAGATCGAGCTGCTGAACAACCGTGACCCCACCTCCAAGGGCGGTGTGTCCGGCTTCTTCTCGGACATTGTCTACTCCGCCTTCCACCCCGGCATCAACCCGAGCGTTCTGCTCCTGGTGAACATCACCTTCGTCCTGCTGCTGTTGTCCCTGTGCTTCCTTGGCTACGTTTGGGCCTTCAACTTCCACATCTTCTTCCTGATCGCCATGTCGATCTTCCTTTGGGCCTCTCTCATCTGGTGCGTACTGGGTTGTGGCCTTTGCCACCCATGTCCTGTTTCCTCTGCTTTTGCTAACCGCGTCTCTCTGCCTTTGCCTGTGCTTCTGTCTCTGTCTTTATCTTTATCTTTGTCTCTGTCTCTGTCTCTGTCTCTGTCTCTGTCTCTGTCTTTGCCTCTGTCTTTGTCTCTGTCTCCCGCCCTCTCCCTCTCTCCCTCTCCCTCTCTCTCTCTCTCTCTCTCCCTCTCTCTCTCTCTCTCCCGCTCGACTCGTCCCCTCAGGTTCCTGAGCCAGCTCCGTGGCGCTTACATCAACGCCGATAGCGGTAGCGCCGGCCCTGAGAAGGCCTCGGGCAAGTCGTCAGCCACCGCCAAGCCGACTGCCTCCAAGCGCAAGTGAGTCCCACGCTTCCCGCCCCTCCCCCCCTCCCCCCTCCTCCTCCTCCTCCTTCTCTAGCGTGTGTATAGGCGCTCCCCCCTCTCCATCCCCCTTTGTCTTCAGCCCCAGTTCTCTTCACACTTCGCCCTCCCCCCACTCCCCTGTCTCCATCCCTGCCTATCCCGTCGGAGCCACTCCCCTCCCCCGCCAGCGTTCACAGTTACCACCCGCCCCCTCGTGTCGTCTATCGGCGGCGCGCATCACGCGGCGTGCATGTGTGGATGTCTGTGCGTAGACGTGAGAAGGGAAGCAAGAGAGCAGGCGGGCCATTTAGTGTGACAGTGCCCCATTCAAAGAAAAACAGCAGCAACAAACACCACCCTTGTCCTTGTGTCCAGGCTCCCTCCCCCCTTTTTCCGCAACACATCGGGAAGGATGTGCGGTGACCACAAAAATAGACCTTGCATCTTTTGATGCTCGTGTGTGTGTGTGTGTGTATGCATGCGCATGTCTGCAGTTTTCTTTCACCACCGCGCGTGCACACACGCACGCACACACATATGCACAGGCACACGCACATGCACATGCACGCATATTCTCCCCTCTCCTGCAGATGTGTTTCTTGAAAAGGGCAGAGGCGCAAGGGAGGGGGAAGGCGGGACGCAAAAATGCAAGGCATTGCGGAAGCAGGACCCTCTTCTCTATTTGCACTAGTTGTCCACCGTGAAGCGCTGACGCTTGCGCGGAGAGGTATAGGAGGCATCGAAGTGGGCCGTGGGAAGCGCGACATGCTCCCCGGGGGGGTCGCCCATGTCGTCGTCCTCCTCAGCCGAGTAGTTGAAGTCCTCGTCGGAGGGGGACCGCGAATCCCGGTCAGATACATCCCCCAGCATGGTCCCGGCAACAAACTCTGCCCGGTCACTTGCAGCCTGGGGGTTGTGCTCGTCGGCGGGCGAGTCTTCGAAGCTCAGCTCAATGTCTGATGGGTCTTCCCACCCGGCGCCGGCCGCGCCCTCGTCTGGGCTGATGGCATCATCCATACGAGGCACCGGGTGGAATTCCGGTGTACTGGAATCGACCGCCCACTCCGCGATCGAGGGGGAGTCCTCCTGCTGTGGCGGCTGCCGCCGATGTTGTTCCTGCGCTTCCCGGGCCTCTTCCGTGCCCTGCCCCGTCCCCGACGCGACGGGGTGCCCGGTCTCGAGCTCGGACATGCTGTTCTCGGCGGCAAGCGGGTACATAGGGCTCGCCGGGGGGCGAACCGCGCGACTGGGGACGAGTGTCCCCCTGGCCTCGACAGCGGCAGCGGCAGCAGCATCAACGACAGCGCCCGACCGGGTGCCCTCCTCTTCATCATCAATCAGCGAGAGTTCAATCTCGACTCCGGGCCCGGGCGGGGTTTGCCGGATGGAGACCACCTCATCTGGCGAGGAGATGTCCACCGCCTCATTGGGTCCAGGGATGTGTGTCCCCCGCGGGCGTGGGCGCGGGCGAGGGCGTGCCACCGCCACCGCCGCAGCCGCGGCCGCCGCCGCCACCGTCGCGCTGTCATCCTCGGAGTGGTCTGTGCGGCTGCGAACGTGTGAGGCCAGCACAGTGGTGCGGGCATTGGGCGGCGCCTGGTCCAGGAACAGACGAATGCAGTTCCGATATGAAATGGGCTCCCGGCAAATGGGGCACAGGGCCCGGGAGGTCGGGCTGGCCTGCGAGTGTCTTGGGGACGCAGCCTTCAGCAAAGCCAGCAGGCATGGCCGGCAGTAGACATGTCCACAGGGGGTGGCCATCGGCCGGCGGATGAAGGTCAAGCAAATGGAGCAATCCAACAGAAAGGCCGTCGGTCGGTCTGCCTCTTCAGCAGTCGGGGGTCTGTGGGACGAGGTTAGGAAAGGGGAAAAGGGAGAAAAAAAGAAGCCAAAACGCCCAGCCACTCAGAGACACATGTGCGGGGGCCCCTCGGGAAAGGTGGAAGCAAAGGGACGCACTTGGACGAAGCGGCCTCGGCCGCGGGAGCCATCGAAAGGCCGACATCCGCCGCCGGGGGAGAGGAGGCCGCCCCCGGGCCAGGTCGAGCTGCCCCGACATTCGGGAACGTCAGGTCGATGACCGGTGCCGGGGCCTGTCGCGAGGAGGCCGGCCCAACGCCCACACGCATGTGTGCCGGAAGATTGTTGATATCGTTTGGATTGTCCGGGGGCGTCTGCATGTGTGTGTGTGTGTGTGTGCGTGTGTGTGTAGGGTCAGTGACAGCCGCATCGACGGGGGGGCATGGCCGATGCAGGGCGCACAAAGAAACCCAGAACCGAGTAGTCCGGCGAGGGGGACCGACTCGGCTGGTGGTGGCGACGGCGGGGAGCCATGCCGGAGGAGGGGGGTGGAGGGAGGGGAGGTGGCAGAGGGCGTGAGACTGTCGGGGAGCAGGGGGGAGGGGGAGAGCGGGGGCCCGGGGGGGGGGGGGCGGGGGGGGTGGAGTGGGGAGGAGGGGGGTGGGGGGGTGGGGGTGGTGGTGGGGGGGGGTGGGGGGCGAGAGGCACTGCCGGGCCAGGGGGGAGGGCGAGATCTGGGGCCCGATGGGGGGGTGGTGGTGGTCGTGACGAGCGATTAGGGGCCGCGCCCTCCGCGGGTCCAAACCAGGTGGAACTTCAGTGGTGGAGAGCGATGGCGAGCGGCCGGTGGCGTGTGGATACGCGCATGCCCTTCCCAGACGTGTGCGCCCGTGCCGCAGGTCCCTCGAAGGTACACCCAGCCCCGGGGCCGGGTCGATCTTCGTCCCCGTCCTCCGTCTTCCGAAGATGGCGCTCTGTTCTCTGTGTCCCCTTAGATCGGCGCGGTCCGTTGGGACCGGGTCACACCATCTCCCGGGTCACGGAGGGGCTTTTCCGTCAAAGCCCCAGTGGCGATGCGTCTTTTGTGCGAGGAACATGTGCCCCGGGGACTCTTGTTTTGGATTGCGGACAATTCCTTTTCCGCACGGGCTGCCACCACCCAGCGGGGGGGGGGGGGGGGGGGGAGGCACCCCGGGCAGGCGAGCGTGCCCGGGGGGGGGTGTTTCCCCCCCCCCCCCCCACAAAAAGGCTAATTTCCTGGGGCCGGGGGGGGGCCAGGGGCCGCTTCCTGGGGCGTCCCCCCCCCCCCCCCCGCGTCCCCCTCACAGCTCCGAGATCCTGCTGGGCCGCCATTTCGGCCACCGCCAGATGGCGGGGCTCCGGTCCGGGACACATCCCCTTCTCCTCGGCATCGCATGCCTCCTCCTCCTCTTTCTTCTTCTTCCTCCCCCGTTGCTCCTTCCCCCCCCCCCCCTCCTCGAGCATGAGCGGCTACTACCCCGACAGTCACGAGGCTGACATCTGGGCCACGACCACGGCCACGGCTGCGCCGCCGTACAACCCCGCCACCGACCCCAACATCAGCACCAGCGCCTTCGATCCGTATGCGGCTGATTTCAACCCGTGGCTGGGCACCGAGCAGGCCCGGCCGGCCAGCTCGGTCTACGGCCACGATGACCTCTCCCCTTTCGACGCCTATCCCGCACAGCCACCTCCGGCGGCGCCGGTTCCCACATCGGCGGCCAGTCCCGCTCCAGTGGCCGACCCAGGCACGCCGTACTTCCTGACGGTTGGCGCGGCGCCCGTCAGCCCCATCGCCGAGCCCGGCTACCCCGCGCAGCCCGCCCCACAGCAGCACCTCTTCATGGCCGGTACCGCTCGGTCTCCAGGTCCCGAGGTGCCGGTCGAGCCAACCCCGGCCGCGGCATCTGGCCTCACCATGGACATGGTCCTGGCCGGGCACCATGGCGGCAAGCCCCTGGAGATTGATGAGGAGGGGTGCGTCTGGGCAAATGCCATCTCCCTGCCTGCCCGCCTTTCCATGTTGCCTGGCCGCTGACACTATTTTGCCCCAATACCGCCGCCGTCGCCAAAGGTCCCCGCTGGGCGAAACCACGCAGCACCTGATTGCCATCAACCGGTCGACCAAAACCTCTCGCCTGGGCATGGAAGTTCGCGCCACCAAGCGCAAGGGCGCGCTGGTGCTGAAGGTGTGCATCTTCCCGCCGGCCTTCCTCCCTTCCCTCCATTCATCAGGCTGTGACTCACCATCCCACCTCTGTGTCTCTTTCTTCCTCTGTCTCTCTGCCTCTCTCTCTCTCTCTCCCGTCTCGCGGTACATCTGAGCAGGTCTCCAGCGGTGGTATGGCCGCCCTGAGTGGCATTCAAAAGCTGGATCGGATCATCCAGATCGACGGCCAGAGCATCGTCGGCTGGGACCATGCACGGGTGACCAGCACCCTCCGCGCTGGCAAGTTCGAGGAGCTGCTTGTTGAGCGTTGCCGGATTGAGGACGTTGCTGTCGCCCCGGCGCCCTTCTACGCCAAGGGCCAGAAGCCGCCCAAGAAGAAGTGAGCCCGGTCGGCATGCGCCTGCCCTTTCCTTACACATAGCTCTGCTGGCCAGCGCACGATGTGCCTTCCATTCTGTCCACCGCTCCAGTGTGATACATTCCATGTTTTCCCAAGCCACGGGCTCGGTGTCATCACCCCCCCCCCCCCCCCCCCTGCTTTGCCAAGCAGTGAGGGGTGAACAGGGGGAGGACATAAAGGTAAAGAGACCGTGGGCATGCGCCCGCGCGGTTGACAGAGAGTATATGTATATTGGGGTGACAAGGACAGCACGCGAAGGGAGAGGGGGAGAGGGGGGAGGAGAGGGGAGAAACAGATCCCGACGTGGGCATGGGGGATTGGGGGCGCGCGGCTACCCAACCCGGGGCAGAGATGGCACGCGGTGGCCAGGCATTAGCGCTTGTTGTGGCGCGCACGGCGCTGGATCAGACGCTCGATCTCAATCTTGGCCTCGCACTGGGGGAAGTTCGTCAGGTCGAAGTAGTCCGGCGACGCGTCGAGCAGCCACTCCGGCTTGACGGCGGTCACTGTCCGGATCCAGTTTTTCGTGGTCAGCACGAACTCATGGTAGATGGTCCACTGGGGGCGGTGGTTGATCGAGGACGAGGGGTGGATCTGTGTTTGTGCATGGGCACGTGGGTTGTTTTTTTTTGTTTCGGCGTGGAGAGAGACCGCACGTCAGTGGGGTGTCAGACAGCAGCGGGCGGCGCCGGCGCAAAGAAAAAGAAGGCGCCTCCAAGAGGTGGGCGAATGGCCCGGCAGGGGCAGAGGCAAAGCACAACGTACCGACACAATCTGGTTGTCCTTGACGGTGAGGTAGCCGCCGCTGCGCTCCTTGTGGGCGACCTGCATGAAAAAGCCGCTCAGGATGGCCCGCTTGATGTTGTCATAGTAGCGCCGGTCCTCGAAGGGGGTGGAGTTCAGCTCCAGGCCCAGACGCTTGAAGATGCGCAGGAGCTGCTGGCGCACGCTGTCGGCGGACTTGAGCGACCGGAAGTTCAGGTAATTGTTGTAGCAGAACTTCTGGTCCATGTTGTTGGCCTGTGGTGTTTTTTTTTCACACACCCCGCCCGCCCACAGCACGAAGACCCCGAGGAGTGGAGAATGAGATGGTGAGAGACGCGTTATAGAGCCCGAAGGGGCGGGGGGGGGGGGGGGGGGGGGGCACAGGTATGTGGCGGCCCGCCCTCGAGCCATGGCAAGCGGGCAAAAGGAGGGAAGGGGGCGAAAAAGAACCGGAGAGCGCACCACAAAGGCATGGTACACGTTGAGCAGGGTGATGTGGTCACTCTCCTCGTGAACGAACTGGGCCTTGGCACTGTCGGCCTCATTGCGCTGGTCGTTGGGGCGAATGAAGCTGTCCGCATGGGGGGGAGGGGGAGGGGGGGGGGGGGTTAGCAGGCGCGACTGGGCAGGGAAGACACGTGCACACAGACACCAAAAGGAGGAGGAGAAAAGGAAAAAGGGAAAATGGCCCGAGAGTCACACGCGCTGGAACACATACCAGTTCGGCACGGAAAGCATGGCCACAATGGAGAGGATCTCGTTGGAGCACTTGTGCTCCGGTGAGGCAATGAGCATCTTGGCCAGCTCCGGGTCAAGCGGCAGCTCGGACATCATCTCGCCGACGGAAGTGAGGTTACCATCGTCGTCCAGGGCCCCGAGGTAATTCAGCATCTTTACAAGGGCAGAGTAGCACACAGCGATGGTGGATCACAACAGGATGTCAGTGGCACGAATAGGGGGCCTTTCCCCGGCCGTCCCCCTGAGAGAGAGAGAGAGGGGGGGGGGGGGGGGGGGACGGCCGCAGGCGAGGGACCACGCCATGGCAGCCCTGCGGTCGGTCATGCAGGGGCACCGGCACCAGCACGTACCTCGAGAGCGCGCATCAGGGTCTCCGGGACCGGGGGGTCCATGAAGTCGAAGTTGACCAGATCGTCGATGCCGAGCTTCTTCAGCTGCAGGACCACCGACCCGAGGTTCGACCGGAGCATCTCCGGGTGCGTGGTGTCCTGGAGCTGCTTCTTGAAGGCCTTCTCGGTGTAAAGGCGGAAGGCTGCGTTCGTGAGGGGGGGGGGGCAGCATGAAAAATGCGGGTGTTAGCGGGAAACCGAGAAGACAGCAGGCAATGAGAGTGCAGCCAGACCCGGGGGGTGCAGGCTGGCGACGCCAGGGAGGAAGACCGGCGAACGTGCGTACCCTTGCCAGGGCGGGTACGACCGGCACGACCGGCGCGCTGCTGGGCGCTGGCCTTGGAGATGGGCGACACCAGCAGGGACTCCACTCGGACGCGGGGGTTGAAGACCTTCTGCTTGGCGAAGCCAGGATCAATCACATAGACAATGCCGTCAATGGTGATGGACGTCTCGGCGATGTTGGTGGAGACGACAATCTTGCGGCCGGGCTTGCCATTGCGGGCCGGGGGGGCCGGGTCGAAGATGCGCTGCTGCATGTTCGGCGGCAGGGTCGAGTAGAGCGGAACACAAAGGAGCTCGCCGCAGTCGTAATTCTGCGCCTCATTGCGCAAAGTCCGGCAGGCCTCCTCGATTTCCTCCTCACCCGTGAGGAAGAGGAGAATGTCGCCTTCCGGCTCATAGCGGTGGATCTGCATGGCAGTGCGCAGGGCGGCCTCAAAGTAGTCGGGTTGCTGATTGGTCGAAGCAGGCCCGGGAGTCAGGGTGGTCGGGGTGGTCAGAGCGGAGTCCGGCGAGGTGCAAGACAAAAGCGTGCGCGGCATCATGGAGGCCGCTCCCCCCGCCGAAGAAGGCAAGCGTACGGGCTCCGGGGTGTAGAAGATCTCCACCGGGAAGGTTCGGCCGGGGACCGTCAGCAGGGGGCAGTCGTTGAAGTAGCTCTGGAACTTCTCGGCATCCAGGGTGGCAGACATGACCACAATCTGACCAATCCACATGACGAGAGGACAGGAAGGGGGCCACATATGGCAGGCAGGCATCGGATGGCCGGGAGAGAGAGAGAGAGCGTGTGCATGTGCGTCAGAGAGAGAGAGAGGGAGAGAGAAAAAGGCGAGGGAGGCCGGAATGCGCTCGAAATATGCCACACGCACCTTGAGGTCCGCGCGCGAGGCGGCGATCTCCTTGATCAGACCCATCAGGACATCGGTCGACAGGGTACGCTCGTGAGCCTCATCCAGGATGATGACCGAGTAGCGCTCCAGCAGGGGGTCGTTCATGGCCTCACGCAGGAGCATACCATCGGTCATGTACTTGAGCAGGGTGTTCTTCGAGGTGAAGTCCTCAAAACGGATGGTATAACCGACCTGCTCACCAAACTTGACGTCCATCTATACGAGTACACGCGGGACAGGGAGAGAGATGTAGGAGAGAGGAGGGGAAGGAGCGGGAGGGGCCACAGAGTGCCGGCACGGCTGGGGTCAGCAATCGGGAGGGGAGCCAGCCGCGGAAACGGCCCCGCCGGGGCCCCGGCCGACGGGCAGGAGGAAGGGGGAAAAAAACACTGTCAAAGGATGCGAACCTCCTGTGCGACACGCTGGGCCACACTCATGGCGGCCACTCGACGGGGCTGAGTACAGCTGACCATGCCCTGGATACCATCCTCATGGCAAACCTCCGCACAATATTGGGGGATCTGAGTGGTCTTACCTGTTGGAGGGGGGGGGGGGGGGGGGGGGGGGGGCGGGCGCGGGTTGGGAGGCCCCCGTGTCCTCGCCAAAGCGCCCGGGAGGCGGCGGGGCCCGGGCGCGGGGGCCCGCCGCTCTCTTACGCACCGGAACCCGTCTCTCCGACCAGCACGCAGATCTGGTTGTCGCGGAGCATCTTCTTGAACTGGTCACGGAATTGCCACACCGGCAGCTCCTTGCGAGTGGCGAGGATCTCGTAGTACCGGTCGCTGAAGGGCTTGCCCCCGTCAAAGACGTTGGTGGTGGGCTCGCCGATGGCGGCCTTCTGGGCGGCCTCGGATCGGCCCCCCGCAGCGGCGGCGGTCTGCTCGGCCCCGGGGGTGCCGATGTCGATGCGGGCGCGCTTACGGTCGGACATGACTCTCAGGCGGGTACGGGCGGCTGTGTATGCGACAGCGGGCGAAGGTGCGGACAGTGGCAAGAGGGGGGGGGGGGGGGGGATCGAAAAGGGAGGAGGGTTGGGGGGGGAGGGGGCAAGAGAGGGGGAAAGGGGGAGAGGGAGAGGCACTGTGTCAGCATCTTGGAGCCGGAGGAACGATGGCATGGCTCGCCAAGAGGTGCCAGCAGGCCAGTGCACCTCCGGCAGGAGACGCACACACATCCCGCTGCCGGAGGTACAGGCGGTCGCCCCCCCCCCCCCTCCCCCCCCCCATCTGCCGGCCCTCGCCCGCTCAATCGTGACGCCATCCTGCCTGCGGGTCCGGGGCGGGGCGGTCCAACCGGGCCGTCGCCGCGCTTGGCGCCCCGCACGTCGGGGGAACAAAGAGGGGCCGAGTCCCCTCTCACCTTTGGGTGTGATGGTCCTCTGCCGGGCGGGGCGCCAGCGCCATGCGGAGTAGCGAGACGGAGCAGACACTGAGATAGGTGCCAACGTGTGTGGCGTGATATGCAAACAACATTAGCCGACCACGGGACACACCTGATTTTGCATATGACGTGTCACCGCGCTCTTCGCCTGGCAAACTCGCCGGCCGCCGGCCGGCTGCCGTTCCTCCTGGCTTGCGGGGCCGAAGTGTCGAGGGCCTAGTGTTGTTTTCTTTTCCTTTCCCTTTTTTACATAGATGTTGGCCCCTGCAGATCGCGCGGCGTCTCAGATCTTGGAGCACCTGGCCCAGCCGCCCTGAGATTGAGGGGTATTCCGGACCGATGGGCCTTCGTCAGGGTCGCCCAGCCGGGGGGGGGGGGGGGGGGCAAGGTGCGAGTCACCCGGGCGGGCCTCAGGGTCTGGGGATGGTTTTGGCGCCAAGACGGCGTGACTGGCGCCCCTGCGGCTGCCCACCACGCCGGGACCTGCTGCCACAAGGCGCGAAGGGGCGAGCTCACCCTGCCCGGGGTCCGGCGATGTGGCGTCCTCCAGCCCGCCCCGCCCCGGGGTGCTCTGAGGGGTGGGGGTGGGGGGCGGGCGGAGGGCAGTTGTCTCCGAGTCCCGATGCATCCCCCGGTGTCGATCCTTAATTTCTCCACCTGCCGAGGCGATTGCCGAGCAAGCTGGACGCGGGGGTGTTCCCCTTTTCCAGGACCCCCACTGCCTTTCCAAGTTGGGGCAGTGCACCCGGGTGGCCCCCGGCTGTCAACGCCGCTGGTCTCTACGTCCTTCGCGTCGGCTCTCGGCCCCCCTCCCCCCTCCCCCTGGCCGGGGCGCCTAGGGACAGGCCGGGTTCTGTTACCGGGGACTTGGGAGCTCGCACCGGCCTAAGTGTGCCGGCTGGCGGCGCCTGGCTCTCGCGGCTCGGCCGGATGGTGGCTCACCGGCGTCGGTGTTTGGCTCGCCCCGAAGCGATCTTCCCCGGGGGCTCTTTCACCATGGCAGGCGGGGAGCGCCGAGACTGCGCTGGCGAGGCGAAGCATACGTGCGTGCCAGCGGGACGATCGTTTCCGTACCGTGGGCAAGGGCAAAGGCGTGAGGCGGCCAGGGCACCCCATGGCCGGGCCCTCAAAACGCCTATCCGCCTCTGCACGCAAGGTGCCCCGGTGAGCCAACACCGGCTTCCTTGGCCGGAGCTGGTGCTATTCACGGGTCGCTCCTTTGTAAAGGCGTGAGCGTGTGTGTGTGTGTGTGTGTGTGCGCGCGCGCGTGCTTTGTGAATGTGCGCCGTGGATGTGTCCGGCGGGTGTGCTGAAACACACGCGGCCCGACAACCTGGCTCCGTCTAGACTGGCGCGAGTGCCCTTGCCCACGGCCGTTCGAGCCCCTCTGCCCAGCATGGCACGTGCACACGGCGAGATAGGCCCGCGGGTGTGCCCCCTCCAGAGAGGGTATGCAAACTCTGGATCCCCCCCCCCCCCCCCCCCCCGGGCCTCACCCGTCCTCGTATCGCCTCGCACCGCGCCAACGTACACAATACCCTGCCTCGCTGCCTCTCGCTCCCGCCTCTGTTCCCCTGCCTCTCTCTCTCTCTCCCTCTCGCGCTCTCTCTCGCTCTCGCTCGGTCACTGTCTCGCGCGTTCTTGGCCCTTGCGCTTACTAACGCCAGGCCCCCCCCCCCGTCCCTCCCGGGCGCCGCCGGACGCATTTCCCTGCTCCCTTGTAAAGCAGCCCCCCCCCCACTGGCCATGAGGGTGCTCGCAGCCCGCAGCGGCCCGGTGCTGCTGATGGCCTTGGCGACCCTGCTAATTCTCTCGGCCAGTTCATGCCAGTCTGGCGCTCGGGCCAGTGCGCTGAATGCCACGACGTCGCGCGGCCGCCGCGACCAGGAGCCCGGCCACGCCCCGAGGCAGGCCATGCCCTACAAGGTCCTCTACCCGACCGATCGGGCAGATGACGAGGAAGATGACCTCCGGCCAGGCGCGGCGCCCATCAACCCGGGCCTACCACCCGGGCACCCGGACTACGAAGGCCTGACTGCCCGGTATGCGGTGCGGTTTTCGGCGCGGGCCTTGGCCGACGCGCGCCGGGCACGCCGGGGGATCCTGTCACAGCGGCACCTGTCGGCAGCGGCCACCCCGGAGCAGGTGCCGGCCCTGCTGGCCGGGCAGGATCTCCTGGCCCGGATGATAGCCCAGCTGGACGATCGCCAAGAGGCCGGCATGCAGCGTCGCAGCGAGGCCCTGGACCCCCAGGCGGCCCGGCAGCTCGACGAGGAGCTGGCCCAAGTCCGGCAGGCGCGCAGTGGCCTGGCCGGGGCCCGAGTCGAGCCGGTCGGGCACTTCCTTGATACGGTGGAGATCACCCTGCCCCTTGGTCTGGTGGAGAGCCAGCGCCTCGGGCGAAATGTGGTCATCGTTCGGCCCTCTCCGGCCGTGGGGGCGGACCTCCTCGGCGATGGCGGAGGCACGGGGCCCGGCGGGGCCTCAGCAACAGCAGCAGCAACGACACCACCGCCGCCGCCACCACCGGGCCAGCATTCCGTGCTGTCCTACCCGACGGTGGTCCTGACGCCGGAGCCGCCGGAGCGGGCGCCCTCCCAGAATCTGGGCGACTTCCTGCGCAGCCTTTTCACCTTCAACCGGCGTCGAGATGACATTGTCTGGTTCGAGCAGCAGGAGGCCCGGTGGCGGCACCGCCGCGACCGCGACATCGGCGCCGACCGGGGGGAGGATCTCGCGGCCGAGGGCCAAGCCCTCAACGCGCCGGAGGCTCCGACGCCCGACAATGGGCGGACCTTCTGGAGTGATCCCATGTGGCCGGACCAGTGGAATATCGTGCGTGTGCCGCGTGCCGGCAGCCAGTCGGGGCCGGGCTCGGGCCCGGCCGCGGGCGGGCCGCGGGGGGATCTATGAGAAGGGGCCGGGCCAAGAAGTGCATGGGGGAACATCGAGCGGGAGAGCAAGCGGCGGAGGCCCAGGGGGGAGGGCAGGGGCCTCTGGCTTCCGGGCTGGGGCGAGGCGGGCGGATGGGGGAGGCGCATGCCCCGAGACAGGCGGACGGAGGAGAGGTGTGCGTCTTGGATTGGGTTGCGCCTCGCGCTTGCCTTTTGTGCAAGCACACAAGCGCATGCGCCGTGGGGCTGTCCTGTCGCCGCTGCACCGATGCACAAGCATGCGCTTGTGCATTCTCCTCCCCGTCGAGGGGCCCGCGCATCCGACCTGCATCCCCCCAATACAGGCCCCCCTCCGGTCTCCGCTTGTGATGCCCCCCTCCCCCCCCTCTGCCTGGGACATGCCCCGGTGGCTGGCCCTCCGCGCACTGCGGCCCCTGCGGCTGCCTCGCCCGGTCTCGCCCTCGCGCCTGCACACCACACGGACACATTGTTGACAATCGACACCGGCATCCCCTGCGCTCTTCCTCCTTGCCCCGTAACGCCGGCCATGCAGCTGAACTACGGCCAGAAGGAGCCCACCACCCATGGGAATGATCATGGCATCATGTCCGTCTGGCGGCAGGGTATCCTCGGTGAGGGCGTCACCGTGGCCGTGGTGGACGATGGCATTGAGCACACGCACGAGGACCTCAAGGCAGCCTACGTACGTGATCCCTCTCCCTGAGAGGCGGCACATCCGCGCCAGCCTGGCAGCCGAGGCGGGTGCATGGCCCGCCCACATGTCACACACACATACATGTCACACACAGTCACAAGCCCGGGACCGAGCACGCTCGACCGCGCCTGCCGCTCTCCTCGTCCACTCCGCTTTTCATCCTGTGTCTTCTTGCTCGGGTTCTGACCGTGTGCGTATGCCCCTATTGGTCGACGTGCCTGTCTCGTGCCGCCGTCGCTCCACTTCATACACACATGCACCCACGCACCCACACGCACACGCCCAACCACATGTGGACAGTATCCCCAAAGCTCGTATGACTTCAACGGCAAGGATGCCGACCCCTTCCCCGGCGGGCAGTTCGACTACCATGGGACCCGGTGCTCCGGGCAAATTGCCTCGACCCCGAACAACCACATGTGCGGGGCTGGCATCGCGCCCAAGGCCCGTGTGGCGGCGCTGCGGCTGATCAGCTCGCCCACCACCGACACCGATGAGTCGCGTGCCCTGTCGTATGCGCGGTCGGTGAATTTCATCTACAGCAACAGCTGGGGCCCGACCGATGACGGCGCCACCATGGAAGCCCCGGGGCCACTGGCCTCGCGTGCCCTCTGGGAGGGCGTGGCTTTTGGCCGCGAGCGCCGGGGAAGCATCTTTGTCTTTGCCTCCGGCAATGCGGCGCGCGTGGGCGACACATGCGACTACGATGGCTATGCCAGCTCGTTGTATGTGATGGCCATCGGGTCGATCGGCGAGCATGCCCGCACTGTTGCCTACACGGAGCCCTGCGCGTCGCTCTTTGCGGTGGCCTTTTCCTCGGGCGGTGGCGATTCGATCGTGCGTCCACATTGTGGCAATGGCAAGGGCCCGGGGAGGGGGGGGGGGGCGGAGGGAGCGTAGTTGCACGTGTGTAAGAACATCTATGTGTGTGTGTGTGTGTGGGCGGGTGTTGGCCCGGTGGCACGCCTCCTGTTTTTTACCAGCCAAGGAAGTAGGCTTTGCACGCGTGGCAGGGCCAACGGGCGGGCCACCGGCCGGTCCAAAACTGACACACCCACGCACACATGCACGCCGGCGTACACGTCGGAAATGCGCACAGACCACCGTCGACCGGGACAACCGCTGTACGCGTAGTCACTCCGGCACATCGGCCTCGGCCCCCTCGGTGGCGGGGATCCTGGCGTTGCTGCTGTCGGCTCGGCCGGACTTGACATACCGCGATGTGCACCACCTGGTGGCCAAGACCGCGGTGGTGGTGGACGCCGAGCACGCCGCCTGGCAGGTCAATGCCGCTGGGCTGCCTTTCTCCCGGCACCATGGGTTTGGCCTGATCCGGGCCGATCGGCTGATCGAGGCGGCGGCCTCCTGGCAGACGGTCGGCGGCTACGAGTACTCGATCCCCTGGCTGACCAAGCCCCTGACTCTTGGGGTATGTTGCAGACCGACACCGTGTCCGCCGGCTGTGCTGCATGGCCAGCAAGCGCCGGTCTTGGGGCCGGGGACTGGGGGGGGGGGGGGGGGGCGGGGCGGAAATGGTGAGGGCGAGGCCGAGCGATGGCCCGCCAAAATGGCCAGGCCTTCCTTATTGCTGTCCCAGACGCCCTCCTTTTCCTGGCCTGCCATGTATAGCGCGCTGCGCACGACCAAGGTCCACGCGCGATCTCCGTGTGTCTAACAGCTCTCCGCTCGCCGACCTGTCACATATGGGCCCATGCCCACGCACGCGCACGCGCACGCGCACGCGCACGCGCACAGACCGCCATCGGCACGGCGCAGACCGGCCACGCCATGGAGTTCTCCTTCCACGTGCCGCGCGAGCCAGTCGATGCCGACGGGTTCACCGTGCCAGAGCTCACCGAGCGGGTGGCGCTCTTGGTGGACTTGCGCCATCCGCAGCGCGGGGCCGTGGCCGTGACTCTCACCTCGCCGGCCGGCACACGGGTGGTTATGGCCTCCGGCCGGCCGGATGACTGGAACCGTGATGGCTTCCGGAACTGGACCTTCACCTCGGTCTTCTTCTGGGACGAGGACCCGCGCGGGGAATGGCGGGTGCAAATCCGCGACCTGGCTCCCCAGAGCATGCCCCAGATGCAGCGCCAGGTGGTCTGGTCGCAGATGGCCATCCATGGGCGCATGCGCGAGCCCACCAAGCCGCGCCAGCCGCCGGGCCGCGACTACACCGGTCCCCTGCGCCCGGGGTACAATCTCGGCCTGGGCGGCGGCGAGGGTGGCGGCCCGGGCGGCGGCAGTGGTCCCCACCTGCCGGACGGCGGCCCGGGCGGCGGCGGCGGCAGTGCCGGCCCCGATGACCGGCCCATTCTCAGCATCCCGGTGGCCCTGACCCTGGGAGTGGTGATGGCCCTGGCCATGGGGCTGCTGCTGCACCATGGGTTCCGCGCGGCGCGCGAGTGGGTGTCCGGCCGCGGCCCGGCGGCCGAGGGGGGCTTCCACAGCCCGACTGACCCGCCGCCCCCGGGGCCGGGAACCGGTTCATCCAGGCGAAAGCGTCGCCCTGGCGCCGGCCGCCCTGGCCGGCCGAATGATCTCCAAGAGGCAGGCCATGTGGCCGGCGGCAGCCCCGGCGGCATCGACCCCCGCTTCGACCTGGACAACGATGACTATGATGATGATGATGATGATGATGAGGATGATGGCGGCTACGACTCGGACGGGGCCTTTGCCTTCGGCCGGGTGGCGGGTGGCGGTTCGCGCCGGGCGGCCGGCCCGGGCGGCGGCATCCCCGCTTCCGCCTCCAAGACCGGGCTCCTGCTGGGGAAGCTGACTGGCGGCGGTGGCCCCGGTGGGGCTGGTGCGGCGGTTTCCCCGAGTGGCGGCCCCGCCGGCATCGGCGAGGACTACGAGATGGAGGATCTGTCCTCGGCGTCCTCCAGCGGCCTTGGTGGCCCCTCGCAGCACTCGTACCAGCCGCCCGGCCATCCTGCCGCCGGGGCGGCCTCTTCGGCTGGCCCCGCGACAGATGTCGAGGCGATTCTCGGCTCCGGCGGGCGTCTGGCCCCGCCGCCAAGCGCATCCGCTGCCAGTGGTGGTGGTGGTGGTGGTGCGACGCAGCACAAGACGCGGGCGACGGCTTCCGCCGGGGGAGGCTCCAGTGGCGGCCATGTTGGCATGGGGGGAGGCCCCGGTGCCCATCCCCGAATGGACATCCTGGCTGCCGGCTCCAGCACCAGCCCCCCGACGAATGTCCCGCGGATTTACTTCATCGGCACTGGTGGCAGCAGCAGCACCGGCGGACCAGGGCCGGACGCCCAACCGTCGCCGGTCACCCCGTCCTCCATCGGCGGGGGCGCCACCGGCACCCCGGAGCACGACCTGTCATCCTCCCTGCTGCTGGTGGCAGGCGGCACGCGCGGCGGGTCAGCCGCCGCCAGCCCCGGCCTCTTTGCCATTCCCCGGCCGCCGAGCGCCACCACCGCGACCACTGCCAGCAGTCCATTGGTGGGAGCCGACCTGCGCCAGCGAGCAAACGTCGACAACTCGTGCAACGGCACCCTCAACCTTCTTAGCCTCGATTAGAGCCGGCAAAAGGGGGGAAGGGGAGGGAAAGCGGGGCGCGCACGAGAGAGAGGGAGAGAGAGAGAGAGAGAGAGAGAGAGAGAGGCTCAGCGACGATCATGGCTTGCGTGTCGCACCGGGAACACATACACCACACAAAAGCTCCGCATGCTGCCCTTTCCCCGGGGTGTTGCGTTTGTGTGTGCATGTGCCTGTTTCAGGCATCTCTCACTCGCTCTCTTCCTCCCTCCCTCCCTCTCTCTCCCTCCCTCTCCCTCCCTCCCTCTCTCTCTCTCTCTCTCCCCCCCCCCCTCGCGCAATATACATCATGTAAATACCGCCTCTTTTTTTTGATGTGCCCGTGTCTACACGTGTGAGCCGCTCTCGCCTTGCATGCGCGCTTGCGGTCCTCGGCTGTGTACGTGCCCCGTTCGGGGCCGGCATGTGTACACCCCGCGAATGTGGTGGAGGTAGTGCAGGTATATTTTTCTCGACCCCGACCGGGGGGGGGGGGGCGGTGTGCCTTTGTAAGGGGTGGAGTGGACAGGGGTGGGGAAGGGGGGAGCGGAGGGACACAGAGAAGGCAACACCTTTGCGAGGGAGAGAGATTCGGCAAAAGACATGAGAGAGCAACACGCTCTGGCAGGGGGAGAGGGAGAGAGCGAAAGAGAGGGCCGCGAACCAGACACGCTCCGAGCTGGGCCCGATTTGTCTTTCCTCCTCTCCTCCTGGCTCTCGCTGGCTCGGAGCCTGTGTCCCTTTCACACTCTGCTCCGCATTTTTCCCTCACTGGCTCCCCCCCCCCCCCGCCCCTCGCCATGGCCCTCTCTCTTTAGAAGTCGAAGTCGTCCGTGGTGGAGAAGGGCGAAGCAGGGTTGCTCCACTGGGCGGCGGGGGCAGCAGGGGACCGGTTGCCGGGGCTGCCAGGGCCAGGAGCCACCGGCGAGCCGGCCGCCACGCCGAAGGGCGAGGCCGAGGACGGCGATGCCGACGGCTGGAGGCCTGTGAAGAGCGGACTGGAGGAGGTGCCCGGCGGCTGGGCCGCGGTTACGAGAGGCGAACCGCCGCCGGGGCTACCACCGCGGCTGAGCCCCGGCGAGGAGGGGGACGAAGAGGAGGAGGCCGCCACCGCCCCGGAGCCGCCGCTGGCGAAGGTAGGCATGGCGAAGGGGGCGCGTGCTTCGCCGGCCGCCGGCGGCGGGGCCACCATCGGCAGGGCCGCCAGCCGGTCCTCCAGGCCGGTCGTCAGCGGGGTGGCAGCGCCGGCACCTGGCATGCCCGGCGACCCTGCCCCGCTGGCGGAGAAGCCGCCGTCAAGCGGCTGCGCCTGGCGCGAATACGAAGCGAGATCCTGCAGGGGGACAAGTGGCGCGAGGTCAGAGCCGTGCTATGCGATGGCCAGGGCACAGGAGAGGGCAGAGAGAGAGAGAGAGAGAGAGAAAGAGGGAGAGGCGGGCACAGAAAAAAAAAAGGCGAGAGGATACATCGCCCTGACTGCGCAAGCACCAGGGCGCGGCAGACACATACCGCGGTCGGGGACACGCCGCCGCTGCGGGGCATGTCCTCCAGGGTGGGCGAGTGCGCCGTCGAGGAGGAGCCCGACTCGGTGCTCCGGATAGAAAGGGTCTCCGTGTCCAGGGAGGGGGTCTCGGCCTGGCGGTCGCCCCTCGACGAGAGGTGACCGGCGGGGGGGGCGGCGTTGGCCGAGCCGAAGGCCACGGCATCCGGCCGGGCCAGAGACCCAGCCACCCGCGGGTGCGTGATGGACAGCACCGACTTCCAGTGGTCCAGGCAGTGATCGACCAGGCTGCACATACGGCAGGGGGACCGGGCAGCAGGTGAGAGGCCAGTCGAGAGAGGCGGAGGATGAAAAGGGGGAGGAGGAGGGGGAGCGGCGACAGCTGCGCCAGCAGCAGGAGAAAGGAGCGGGGCGGCAAAGAGGGCGGGATACGAGCAGCAAAGGGACAGGGGGCTCATGGCAAGCCCACAGGGGCAGCCACCCGGGGGGGGGGGGGGGGGGGGGGCCGTACTCCGGGCGGTAGGTACGCGCCAGCATGGCGGCCTCAGCCTCGCGGCCGGTGTCCAGGAGGATCTGCGCGCAATCGACCAGGTTGTGCGTCACCCAGTTGGCCGCAAAGGCCACGTTGGTGGATTCGGCCTCCTCAGCCAGGCGGGCCACCTTGCGCAGGCCCTCCTCATTGCCGCATGCATTGTAATACATCAGCAGACCGGGCAGGTCGCCGGCCCGCATGAGGGCCTTCTCGGCAAGATGGAACTGCGGAGGGCCGATGTTTTTTTTTTTGTTTCGTTGGTTTTTTTTTCGGCCCCACCCCACGCACTCGGTTAGCCACATGCTGGAAGGACAGCGCGGAAGGGGGGGGGGGGGGGGGGGGGGGGGGGGGGGGGGGCGGGGGGGGGGGGGGGGGGGGGGGGGGGGGGGGGGGGGGGGGGGGGGGGAAGGCGAGAGGGTGAGAGGGTGGGAGGAAGGGGCGCGAGTGTGCCGGCGTCGAGCCATCTTCACCAGGAGCCCCGGTGCACGGCATACCTTGAGCACGACAGTGCCCTCGTCGAAGCCGATGGCCACGTCGTTGTTGCCCGGGCGAGTGGCGATGGCCCACACGCGCTCCAGCCCATAGCTCAGGGTGTTCTCCAGGCGGAAGGTGTGCGAGTGCCAGAGGCGCACGGTGCCATCCTCACTGCCACTGATGATCAGCGGCAGGGTCGGGTGGAAGGTGACCACGGACAGGTTCTGCGTGTGTCCGCGCAAGGTTTGGATCGGGGACTTGGAGTGCAGATCCCAGACCTTGATTTGCCTGGCAGGGCAGAGGAGAGGAGGAGACAGCGAGAAAGGGGCAGGGGGCGGTATGCGGTCAGCAGCGAGCGAGCGAGCGAGCGGGTGGGCGGAGGAGAGAAGGGGGGGGGGAGGGCGTGCGGGTATGTGCGCACATGTCATCCGCGCCGGAGATCAAGAGCGGGCGATCGCTGCCGGGGTAGAAATCCAGGCAGTTGACGCCTCGCTCGTGGCCCTCCAGAGTGAAGTTCGGCACCGCGGCGCCGATCTGCCACACCTTGATGGTGCGGTCGAGCGAGGCCGAGGCGAAGGTCGACGGATCGCGGGGGTTGAACACCACCTGCATGACATAGTGGCTGTGGCCCTCGAAGGTCTGTGAGCGGGAGGCACACGCGGGCAAAGGGTCGGGGAATGATGGGAGATGGGTCAGCGGCAGCACGGGGGAGGCGAAGGTCCGGCAAGGCGGGAAGGGAGGAGGAGGGGAGGGGGGGGGGGCAGCTTCGGCGGCGCGCACCTGGAAGTTGCGCCAGCCCTTTTCCCAGTCCCACGCGCGGATGGTCATGTCGTCGGAGGAGGACAGGACAATCGGCAGGGTGGGGTGCACGGCAATCGACCGAATGTAATCCATGTGCCCCTCGAAGGTGGTCACCTTCTCCAGGGTGTTGTAGTTGAACACGCGGATGTGCATATCATCGGCACCGACGACGATCCAGTTCTTGCGCGCGATGAAGCAACCGGTGCGAACTGGTGGTCAACATGTAAGTAGCAGGCGGCAGCCGGGCGGGGGGGGGGGGGGGGGGAGGCCGGGCGGGCGAGTGGTCGCGTACCGGGGAGCTCAGACACCTCGAAGGTCTTCAGCAGGGTCTGGGCCAGGCAATGGTGGCCCGGCGTGGCAAAAGGGCACGGGGAGGTCAGTGGGGACGCCGGTTCCCGGGCCCGGGGACGGGGCGCGTGGACGGGGGCGCACCTGAGTCTCGAAGTTCCAAATCAAGGCCTGGCCATTGTACAGACAGGCCAGGACCCAGGGCTCGGTCGGGTGGAAGTCCACAGCCTTCACCCGGTCCGAGCGGGCATAGAGCTTCTTCTGCAGGGGGCGGGGGGGGGGGGGGAGGGGGGGCAGATGTGGGGATGCAGGGTCAGGAGCGGCCAGACGAGGGGCGGGAGAGAAGGGCGAAGGAGGTGTAAAGCGTGCGCGCACCGTGATGTCAAGACGAAGGGGCTTCGAGGCGGGCACCGGGGGGTGGTGGGGAGGCGGAGCCGCAAGGCAGGAGAGCGAGGAGGGGTGTCAGAGGAGGGAGCAATGCCAAGCCGGCGGGAGGCGCACAGATCAGTGAGCGGGTGCGAGGCACCATTGTTGGTGGGACCAAGCTGAAGGACTTCTCGGGGATCCTTTTCTAGATGCTGGGCAGATGGGGCGGAAGAGGGGTGCAAGGTGACGCCGACGGCGGCGGCGGCGGCGGCGACGATTGCGGCGATTGCGGCGAGAGCCGTGGCTGTGTTAGGAAGGAGGACACTGGGGTGGAGGAGAGATGCCCGGCGTCTTCGGGGGCGGTTGGCGAGCAACTGGCGCGAAGGAGGGGAGAGAAGGGGTGGCGGGGGAGGCAGAGCGCGCGAGGGAGAGCGAGGGAGAGCGAGGGAGAGATGTACGGCAGATTGCGAGCAGGAGAGGGAAAGACACAAAGAAGGAAGCACAGGGGGAGAGGGGGAGGGGGAGGGGAGGAAGATCCAGGGCGGGAGGTGTGAGGATATAACGCGGGCGGTGCGGCGCCCCGGGTGTTGGCGGTGCACCCCCCCATCAGTACGAATGTCCCCTCGCCCCGCCCCCCGCCCCTTAGAGAACGGGGAACTTGGTGCAAAATCCCCGGCGGCCCTCTGCCTGTCCCGCGCAGGCCGCCTTCACAGCCATCCACAGGCGCCAACGGTACTGCTAAGAACGGTTGGGAGAGAAGGGGGCTCCTTCCGAAGCCCCCTCCCTTTCGTTGAGGGGGGGGGGGGGGGGGCAGGCGGATCGCCACTAACACACCGGCCAATAGCTAAGAAGGGAAAAAGGGCGCCCCACAGCGATTTGCGCCGAAGTCACCACCACACCACCATGTCCCCAGCACCACGACACAAGCGGCCGCCCAACTAGTGTGCAGACAGGGCCGGGCAGGGGGGCGGTATGGTCTTTTCTCCCCCGCACATCGCACACTTTCCTCCGGCCACACCGGGTCACAGTGGCCGGAAAAACTAACAACATGCCCGGAGCCGGACCGCGGCAAAAGCCCATACATCATCCACGCATCGCATCGCATCGCCCCCCCCCCCCCCCCCGCTCCGAGTCCGTGCCCCCGGCCGCAGTACTCTGACAGGCCTGGTGGTCAGTTGGGGTGTCGGGATCACGTGTATGATATTCGCTAAACTGTATTTGTGGCATGTAACCGAGAGCCGACCCATCACTCGGCGGCCGAGAGCCGGGCGAGGAGGGAGGCTTCCCGACGTGCGAGGGCCGCAACGGGGCCCTCCTCACCGGTGGGCCCCCCCCCGGGAGAGGTTTGCCCATCGGCCGAGACAAACAACTCGTCGGCCGTTAGCCCGGCCGGAGGCTGGAGGAGAACCGAGGCAGGGAAACCGGGCCGAGGGGCGAAGAGCGGACGCTCGGCCGACTGGGTGCGTGCACATGCATATGTGTGTACATCAGGAGGGGGGTGGGGGAGCAAATGTCAGCGCAAGGGGACACGGAGGAGCGGATGGCAGAGCACATGGCGGGCAGGGAAGGAGATCAGACATACGGAAAAATCTGAAGCAGGGTCGGAGCCGGGGGCGCTGGCGGCGTCCGAGCCAGGTCGCCGGGTCGGGCGAGAGTGCGCCGTGGCTGTAAGCCCCTCAGCGCGGGCCACAATCGCGGGGGCCACCCCGCGCGACCACGCAAGGCGCAGGCCATGCGGCGGGGTGGTCTTCAGAGCGGCATTCTGTCGGGCAAGGCGTGCGAGAAAAAGGAAGGAAGGCAGGGAGAGGAAGGGAGAGGAAGGGAGAGGAAGGGAGAGGAAGGGAGAGGGTGAGAGCCTGGAAGGAGGGAGGGGCATGGCAGGGGAGACAGGATTGTCTGGCGGGAATTGGGAGAGCGGTAGGGAAGGGGGGCGGACGAGCTTTCGTGTGTATGTGTGTGTGTATATAGGAGGGGGAGACAACCGACATACCGCCTCGCCTACTCGGCGGAAGGTGATGTGCGCACTGCGCGACTCGAAGTCCACCTTGGAGACAGACCTCGCGGCAGGGGCAAAGAGCGACAACAGGCGCTGCGTCATGGATGACACTGAGACATGCGCCCCATCAAGTGAGGCAGCCCCAACTGACCAGGACACCCGCAGGGTGCGGTCCGCCTCATCTGCAAGGGGCGAATGGCCCGGCAGCCGAAGGGACGCCGATCGGGAGGGTTAATAGGTGCGGGGTTGGTCCGGGGCAAGGCAGGGGCAGAGGGAGAGGGAGAAAGAGAGAGAGAGAGAGAGAGAGAGAGAGAGAGAGAGGGCCAGAGCAACATGCGAGGCGCCGCAAAAAAAAAAGAAAAAGGGTGGGGGGCGAACAGGCGAAGGGTCATACCGATCTGCATGGCGGCCGTGGCGCGTGCGCGCTCGGCCAGCGACTCAGCGATCGACTCGGACTCCGAGACAAAAAGCGACGAGGTACTGCTGGCCGCGCGCATGGGCGAGTCGTCGTCGCCCGATTCGCGGCTGGCCCGGTAAGTTGGAGAGGCAAAGCCAGCCCCCGATCCTGGGGTGGCGGACCTGCGGTCCTTGTCGCGATCTGACCGAGCCCGGTTGGCCTGGCATGGGAGAGGGGGGGAGGGGGGGATGGGATGTTGTGAGTTGCCACCCTGCACGCGGCCGGGCTTTCGCATGTGTGGCCGGCTGAGCTGGCAGGCGCACCTGGTGTTGATAGGCCGCACGGCGGTCGGAGGACTGGCGCATCTCCTTGGCCTCCTGCTCGCGGCGGGCGAGGTCTGCGGCGGGCGAGCGGCCACGAGCATCGAGTGGGTGTCGGGTGAGTGTCGGGTGCGGGAGGGGACGCAGCGAAGGAGGAAGGGCAATCCGGGCGTGACATCGCACCGTCGATCATCTTCCGACGCGAGGAGTCCTGGGCTTGGCGCCGGAGCTCGGCCTCCCGACGAGCGCGCATTTTTTGATCATACTCCGCTCGCTTGGTCGGATCGTTGAGGATGGCGTACGCGACTGATAGCGCGTGGAACTTGGTGGCTGTACGCAAGGCACCACGGGTAGGGCCGGCATGGTAGGGTCAGGCGCCCATGCAAAGGGAAAGCCCACCTACTCGACTCGTCCGCCCTTGCGGCGGCGGCGGCGGCGGCGGCGGCGGCAGCATATGTGCATGGGGGGAGGGAGGAGGGGGGGGG